ATCCCCACCCCCTGCCCGAAGCATCAGCCCTGAGAGATCTGCTGCTCCCAGCTCTCAAAGTTAAACAGGGCCAGGGGCCTAGTATAGCTTTATCAGCCCAGCTCTGGTCCATCTCAGACCCTCTGCCAGTATTTTATGGACGAAGCCAAGGCAGCTTCCTTCCTTGGGTCTCGTGGCCATTAGCAGCCCGAGGAAGGAAAAGTGAGATGCAAACTGGGGCGAGCCAAATGGAGAATAAAGATGCTCCCTGAAGTGCAGGGAGGGAGCTTGTCTGGTAACGATGGAGACGACCATCCCCGTCACCTAGCAGCCCTCCTGACTTCATGACATAGGAAAGCTCTCGCCTATGTGCACCCAAACGTGAGTACAAATGTTTATTACAGCATTGTTTTTCATAGAAAAAATGAAATAACCTAAATTCAGATTCTAAGAACAAATTAGGATAAATATATACTATGTTAGGTATTTCACCAAAGAGAATTAATAGAAGGAATGAACTGTATGGGCGTTGGAGGGCTGAGAGGGCAGGAAAGGAGCACTGAGGTTATCTGGAGAGAGCAACTGCAGGAGCAGCTATTGCCCTTCAGGCTGGGGAACAAAGGAGGGGCTGCTAGAAGGACAGCTCCTCAGAGCTGGACTGCTGACTTTGAGGAAGGGCTCCTGCTGGCTGTTACTGGTGACATAGGAACTTCAGAGGAGTTTGGCAAAGATGAGACTTTGGATGGGACTCTCAAGAGGGGCATTGCATGGTGAGATTGGTCCTGGGAGACCCCCCTCAAAAGTCCCCAAAGAAGTCTGGAACCAACTGCCACTGCCATGATCTTCTATAGCTACTAGGGCTACATAACCAGGACAGTAGGCAGACAGGAAAAGGAAAGTCCCTCTCCCCTCCCCCTTTCTTTCAATCTTCTTCACAGAGAGTTCTAGAAAAGCAAGGGCAGGGAGGAGGACTTTTGGACTTGACTGACAGTGTTGTTTCACTTTTATTTATTTGTTCACAAGTGATTTTTTTAAAAATATGTTTTGCCCAGCCGGGCGTGGCTCAGCGGTTGAGTGTCGACCTAGGATCCAGGCGATCGGAGTTCGATTCCCGGTCAGGGCACATGCAAACATATTTACTGATTTCAGAGAGAGGAAGGGAGAGGGAGAGGGAGAGAGAAACATCAGTGATGAGAGTCATTCATCGGCTGCCTCCTGCATGTGCCCTGCTGGGGACTGAGCCCGCAACCCGGGCATGTGCCCTGACCGGGGTATCGAACCCTGATTGCCTGGATCCTAGGTCGACGCTCAACCGCTGAGCCACGCCGGCCAGGCCACAAGTGATTTTAATATTCTCCCCATTTGTTTATTAGTCATTTGAATTTTATTTTCTGTGTGTTGTCCATTCCAAGCCTATTTTATGCTGACTAAACGTTCCAGGGAAACCAAATCACCCTTATATAAGGGCTGGATAAAGAGAAAATCAAGTGTCAACTTGCCCCAGGAGATCTCTTCATCGCCCTCTGCTTTCAGTCATGGGCAATGTGTTAGGCCCAGCACAGCCAACATTCCCGCCAGGGAAGCAGATTGCTCACTCCTTGCCTGGGGACCAGAGGAAAGAGCTGGCATGTCTTTAGCGACTGTGTTCAGGGCTGTTACAGATGGTTGCTCTAGTTGTGCACTGCCCCAAAGGGTCCCTTTAAAAAGGCATCTTGCCTTATCACTGTGAATTTTTGTGTTGATTATGACTTTTCGGGAAGATAGCAGGGGGGGGGTTTGCTCTAATACAGTCATTACAGTATGACAGCTCTCCAACAGGGGGAGGTAAAGAGTCTTGTCTGGGCAGGCACGAGGGTTTTTAATCAAGTCAATTTCTGTCTCCAACAGGAGTGTTAAAGCATAGGTGTAGCTGAATCATTTCTGAGTTATTTTGTGTATATTTACATTCAAAATCAGGCAGCCAATATCAATGGCCAGTGGAGAATGTAGGTTGTCCTTAAGATTTACAATGTCACAAGAACTGGCAAACGCTATGATCATTTCTATAGAAGAGAGACCATGGGACACACAAAAGCATTGAAATGTCAGAGAATTTCATTTCCGCAAAAGCATGCATATGTAT